TGTCGATTCAGCTGGACAGCTTGGGCCAGCAGCTTACAATTAGGATGTATAGCTTTGCAGGCATGGACATGTAACTGTTGTCATTGAATTTTTGGATAACAGGTTGTGTTAGTTATGACGTATTTGGTTGAATTTCATGAGATAATCAAAATATTACTAACTTTAAAGGTGATCTACAGTCCGATCTGCGCATGTGCACAAATGAGCCCACTTTTTATGATACAAACAGTTTAACTATGTTTTGAGTTCTTGAAAAGCTTGATTGTTGTTTCTTGATCATTTATTATACTCTAGAAGCTTGAAAATATAAATAGTTGTCGAATAAAGCTCAATATTTTGGACACAAAAATGTAAACAAAGGCTTTGTTTACATACGGACTGTAGATCACCTTTAAGAAAAATTACTAAAAAAATTACCAAAAATTTTCAATTACCAGAAAAGTCAGAAAAATCGCAAAATATTACCAAAAGTAATTCAAATTACCAAATCTGGTCACACTGATTACGTCATTTACGCTGTCGTTGATTGGCTATGAGCACGCTTACAAACTTCCGGTACGCGCACGATAGCAATATATCTGCATTCGCCGATACAAAAAGGTATCAATTTTCCGCGCGTAATACAAAATGACTGAAAAGCGGCAAATTTCGCAGGGCTATATTATTCGCATTTTACAACATTTCGCAACGAATTGAAACATCGGAATATTACTAATTTTTTGATGCTCTTTCAAGCTGTGATGAAATTTTTGTCTGGACTTGTCTAGATCAAAATTTTGTTCGTTAGGGAATAAGTCCATTCAAATCCGAGAAATGTGTATTTTGAAAATTGGTAAAAGACAATGACAGACAGAGTAATTCTATTGTGGAGTGGAGTCAGAGAAAGACTCGGGCGTTGTATATTTTCAGAATCGCTCACTGTAATTGGTCTAATCAGATTGAACGAAGGAAAACTAAACCTCGAAACCTGCATGGTTAGGTTATGAAAAGGTTACCTAATACCAATAAGCGTGTGATTGTCGTATCAATGCCTACAAATAAAAGACAAAACTGTACACGTAAATTACGCATTGTTATTTACTATCAGTTGAATAATTGGTCACTCTTACGTTCGTTTGTGCGCAGAAACAAGAAAAGAATGGTTGAGGCTGCATTCCATCTAAATTAGGTCTGCATGAGATACCTTATTACTTATATGCCGGATACGATGCAAAGTACTCTGGATTTTTTATAAGTGTCCAACCTGTTAGCAATTTTTCGTCATTATACTATATAAAGCTTTTTACGACGAACGTTTTCTATCGACAATAAGCGTTCAGTTGAGGTATACAAGCAACATACATGATGCATTCGCTGTACTGTACTCTGTAGGATAAACTTTAAGCGATCGTATTCCTGGACCCAGTATTCACTCAATTTGTATCCTTAAATGGTTTTCTAAACCCTCCTCTACACAAGCAAAACATATTTAATTAAAACTTTGAAAATTGTTTGTACTCTGTGGAGTATGGATTTAACGTCTGTGTTCTTCTCAGATCGGTTGGCTGTTGTCAAGCTAACTTACGGCTCCTACTTCTTTCACTACTAACGGAAGTGCAGAGTGTGGTTGAGTTAAATATTCTTTATAAGAATTACAAGACTCAAGAAAATATCATTATAACGAAAATCAGACAATTACGTAATTTTCGGGGAATTTAGGAAAGATTGGCCACAGTTCCAGTGAAATGGAATTCAAGTGAAAGCGCTTTATAATTTCATTTTTCGAAATTGAGATTCAAGGAAAAATACTTCCAGGGAATAACAACAAGAATTCATATCCGTTCAATTCAAGAACTGTTTCCATCTTGCGCCTTTGAGCAAAACCTGACGTCAGACACTTTTGTTATCTTGAATATTTTGTTATGTAAGAAATGTTTTGCGGCCCTTCCATGCAAGGTAAAATTCCTTAAAAACGGCACTGTGAAGCTGAGACAGCAATCAACCGCAATCAGAAACTATTAAGAAAGACATGCATGCATGCATGCACAATATGTATATGATATATGTATATTCAAATATTCAACTTGGAGTGGAGTTGAATCAGAGAAAGACTCGTGCGTTGTATGTTTTCAGATTTCAGAATTGCTCACTGTTGGTCTAATCAGATTGAACGAAGGAAAACTAATCCGAAAACTGCATGGTTAGGTTATGAAAAGGTTACCTAATACCTATGAGCTTGTGATTGTCGTATCAATGCCTACAAATGAAAGTGAAACCAAAACTGCACACGCAAATTACGCATTGTTATTTAGTTTCAGTTGAATTGGTCACACTTACGTTCGTTTACGAGCAGAAACAAGGAAAGAATGGTTGAAGTTGCATGCCGTCTATGTCGAACCTATTAGCAATTTTTCTTCATTATACTTTGATTCATAAATGAGCTATATTATACTTTTTACGACGAACGTTTTCTATCGATAATAAGTTCCGCAGTCGAGGTAATACAAACAACATGCATGATGCATTCGCTGTTCTGTAGGATAAACGTAAGCGATCGTATTCCTGGACCTACAGACCCAGTATTCACTCAATTTGTATCCTTAAATGATTTTCTAAACCCTCCTCTACACAAGCAAAACATATTTAATTAAAACTTTGAAAATTGTTAGAACGAACCTCTATGGATTTAACGTCTGCGTTCTTCTCAGATGTTGTCTGTTGTCAAGTCTTTACGACTCCTACTTCTTTCACTATTAACATGAAGTGAGTGTGGTTGGTATTAATTAGTCGGTTATGTGCACACGCTGATTAGATATCGATTCACTTCCTTTTCAAATTATGCATGAACGCGCAACATTCATTGGGAAATTTGTGCCAAATATGTTCAGTCTGTGTGTTTGGAACCATTTTGAACTAAAAAACCCGTGTATAACAAAACAGAAGTAAATATATTTTCAAATATAGTCTAATAGTCGTTATAAGAAATTAAATATAGACATAGTGTAATAGTCGTTATAAGACTCAAGAAAATATCGTTATAACGAAAGTCAGAGAATTACGTAATTTTCGGGGAATTTAGGAATGATTGGTCACAGTTCCAGTGAAATGGAATTCAAGTGAAAGCGCTTTATAATTTCATTTTTTGAAATTGAGATTCAAAGAAAAATAACAATAAGAATTTATTTCCGTTTAATTAAGCTATTAATTATAAGTATACTGTATGCATATTGTCGTAAACTAATTCGATTAAATGCAAGGTTGTCTTTTCAAAGTCAAAACTCAAAACCTCGACCTCGTGCCAGGTAAGAACACTCTGTTTTGAAGAACGCCGCGAACAAACGTCAAACGCATGCGCAAGTATATTGACTATATTGAAATAGCGAGAAAAATGTCTGGCAAAATAATAGGAGTACATACAGAAAATGCGTATAATGTGTGCGTGTGTGTGCGGGGGGGGGGCTCAGGAGTTAGTGTGCGATCCCGAGGACCTCTGGCTGAACTAGTTTTGCCCCGCATTACATAGTAAATCACTGACTCGCAATAACAGCAATATGACCTCATAGAGCCCTAATTCAATATTAAATATACAGTTTTCCTTGACTTCTTTAGACAGTCTCTATCAAACATTACAGAATTCAGTCTATATCATAGATGTTTGATAAAATTCTATCAAACATTGTTCTGTAGCTTTTCTTTTTTCACTCTGAAATACAACTATTGAACTACAACTGTTTTATAATGGTATACTGGTTTTCCCATTGTGTGCCTTTCTTTCTCAATCCCAGAAACCCAAACTCATTTCCCCAGTCCGAAATAGGCAAATCTCAGTTTAGTTCCCATTTTACCCTTCAGGACCTGAGCTCAGGCTGTCTTTACCTTTCGTCCACCCGCATTTAGGGAAGGGAAATCATGCAACCTGTCGTCATAGAATGTCGTGCAGAGCAGCAGAGAGCACGTGCTGTCAGTGTGCGCTAGGTTATAACAGAGGGTTACAACAGACATTTTGACGGATCAGGCGGTAGATTTAATTTGTACTTGGAATCACAGGTTAGTAAATGTATACAAACGTAAAGTGATGATTGACTGAGAATGCTTGGTATATTAGATCTTCGTCCATCCACAATAGCCATAATACCCGATAATAGCCACAATACTCAATAGACATATTTTGCCGGCATTTCACAAAGAGTTGCCGTGAATAGTAGTTAGAAGTTACTTTGGTAGCAGTACTGTAGATTTAACCTATATAATACATACATAGATAATATATATATAGCCTAGTATATAATAAACTTTATACACCGTAGATTTAGGACAAGAACGTGTATTTTTGCTTTCACTTCTATACTTATTGAGCCGTTTCCCAGAATCTACTTTCCAAGAACCATACAAAGAAACGTTTGACCATTCGAAAGCGGATATAAGGATTACGTAATACTCGAATAACATCAAGATTCATCCAAAAACCATGACCAGCCGACAATTTAAAAAAATAAAGTAAAAAACAAATTCCGAAAATACAGGACATCTTGAGAATTAAAACAGTCTCAAACTGCGTCTTGTTTTGAATTATATATTGAATTCTCAAGATGTCCTGTATTTTCGGAATTTGTTTTTTACTTTATCAAGATTCATGTCTGATGTCTCACTGTTTCTGAATCTATAACACGACGTCATCTTCTGTTTCTATACTCCTTACTATCTATAATTAAAAGATAGTCAATCATTGGTAAGCCGAATACTTATGCACTCACTCTTTTATCCTCTTCGTTCTCCGAGTTGGAAATTTATATTGTGGCGAGGACACCACGTTTTCGATTCACTCTGTACACTTACCTAATAAAACCCAGTAAAATCCTTATACTTATTGCATATCCCGCTATAATATAGCTCGATGCAAATGTTACATTGTTGTTATTTCGGTTCCAATAATTCTCAACAATAATGAATTAACTTATAACAATACGTTTTATCCTATATTTTCGTTCTAACAACAGATATTAGTTGTGGAGTCAGACAATATGGAGAAACCGAAGAGTGAATGTGAAGAGCCCGTGGACACATCAAACATGTTTCAGAAATTTTTTGCCGATATGGAAAAGAAATTCAAGGAAATGTTGCCTGTAGACCCGAACTCTGAGACAGGAGAACAAACAATGCAGAAATTCGAAGAATTAAAGAACAGAATGGCAAAATTGGAGGAATCTGCAAGCAGGGTTCCAACGAAGACGAGAATCACAGAGATGGAATCTGACGTTTTAGCCGAGGAAGCAAGAAAACGAGAAATCGATCGTGTTCTTCAGTTGATGGCTGCTGCACAAGCAGTTGACTTGTGTTTTCTCGTTGATTGCACTGGAAGTATGTCATCGTACATTCAAGGAGTGAAAGAAAAGATTCAGACCATCGTTGAAAAATCGAAGAAAATGCTTCCGGATTTGAATTTCTCTGTCGCCTTCGTTGGTTATCGTGACCATTGTGACGGCGCCGAAAGAACGGTCGTCTTGAATTTCACGGCATCAATTTTAGAATTTCAAAGTTTTATGGGATCTGTCGCAGCCACAGGTGGCGGAGATGCTCCAGAAGATGTTTTTGGTGGCATTGAAGAAGTTGCCAAACTTTCTTGGAGTAAACAAACACGAATCTTGTTCCATATCGCAGACAGCCCTTGTCACGGGACGCGTTTCCACGATCCTAGTGTCGCTGACGATTATCCAAACGGAGACCCGCACGGACTGCAAATTGAAGATTTGTTGTCGAAACTGGAACAGCTGAGTATAATATATTGGTTTGCCAAACTTGGAAATGCAACCGATTTGATGGTACAAGTTTTCCAGGGCATTATGAAGATCAACCAAATTGATCTAGCGTCCGCTGACGATCTTGTTGGCGCCGTTGCCGGTTCTATCTCTGCATCTGTAAACATCCACGAAGAAAATATTGGGGATGAAGTTGTGAGAGATGGAGTGACAGGGGAAGTCGAGTACAAGCTAGATCCGCGATTACCTGATTGGAGCTTGCAAGAGGTAAAAAATGTCGCTGTATGGAAGAACAAGATTCCTCGTGATCTCGACAACTTTCGCAAACCTTTGGAAGTATACAGTGAATCGAAGTGCTCCATAAAGATTGCTGCAGATCCATTTGCAGAAGGAAAGCTACGGATTGCCTACTACGGTAAATACGCCAGTGATGAGAGCGGCAGTTCTTTGGTGTTGAAGCAGTTTAAATACACAAGTGAGAACCAATTCATCCGGTATAAAGAGCAGATGGAAATTCAATCTGTTGCAATAGCTTTAGCCAATAAATTCAACAGCATCAAACCAGCAGGAACAAGGAATGTCCAATTTGCAGACGTGTCCACTGTCACATTCACTGAGGGTGAGGGAAAATCCCATTTTGCCATGGAGAGATACATCCCCGGAAAATATATCAAGTTCAACAACAATGCTGGATTCGTGAACGAAACTGCGTACACAGCCACACTCAACGCATTCAGTCATTGGACATATTGGGCCACACGAAGGTATCTTATGGTTGTTGATCTTCAAGGCGTGAAAGAAGAAAGCTCTGGTGAGGTGCGATATGTCTTAACGGATCCCGCAATACATTGCCGCTCACTTCGAAGATTTGGGAAGACAAATTTAGGTCCTGAAGGAATGTATAAATTCTTTCGTACCCACTATTGTAACGGAATTTGTAAAGCTATGGCACTGAAGTTTCATCGTTATCAACCAACTGAGGTTTATACTGATTTTGCAGGCGCAACTGTGATCGCTTGATTAGAACAATTTTGTGCTAAAAATTAATAATAATTTTGTTTAATTAAACATATGTACTAACAATGAACCTGGTACTGAGGAACTCAAAAACGTTCTCAAAGACTAAAGCAGTAAGACTGCTAAATTAGAATAGAGTTTGTATCGTATACTGCAACAATGTAAGTGAACTTTGTTGACGTATGGCCAAATGCCAAGAGTACCTGATTAATTATGATCCGTTCATTCCACAAACCACTCACATGTGTATAATCTTAGATAAATACATGTAATAAACATCCCTGGTTATATCTTAATTACATTTAGAAAATAGTTCGTAGATGTATAATAGACACTTCCCGAATTTGCTTGAGTGCACACGAAACAATAGCTTGGAATCGAGGCGGACAATGTAATCCATTGGAAATAAGTATAGTTTTCCAATGGATTACATTGTCCGCCTCGATTCCAAGCTATTGTTTCGTGTGCACTCAAGCAAATTCGGGAAGTGTCTATTATATGATTGAATAGCCTGGTCCTCACTTGCGACATAAGCATAAGCATAAGTATAAGCATAAGCATAGGCATAAGCATAAGCATGCATAAGCATAAGCATAATTGTCTGTGGTCATTGGTGTGTAAAATGCTTTGTCTGTCGGAAAATAAAACAATAGATCGCCGATGAATTACGACCAGTGTGAACCAGGCTTTGCATAAGCATAAGCATAAGCATAAGCATAAGCATAAGCATAAGCATAAGCATAAGCATAAGCATAAGCATAAGCATAAGCATAAGCATAAGCATAAGCATAAGCAT